TGACCAAAAAGTACTTGAAATATCCACTATGTCGTGTTTTATTGGCGTTTGGTTTTGAGCTATATAGTGTGTTGTATAGTTCATAGTTTTCTTAATACGTAAGGGTTTTGCTTGAAGCTGACTTCGAAAAAACAATTTCCGGTTTGTTGATAAGTACACAATATTTCACACGTCTTTTTTAATCGGTTTTACATAGATATAATTAAGATTGGACCAGCAATTAATTATTCGGGTGCTATATTATAGATATATTATATATATTGTGTATGTGATTTTACAATATTTCTTCAATAAATAAACACTCTACCTAAGTGTAGAAAATCATAACTTTCACTAATAGCTTTTACTATATTCCTCGATAACTTACGTATGCATATACTTCCGAAAATCAACAAACATATGCCATATGTACGTGTTAGGCCTGCGGCTGTATATTAATATTAATAACTTTTAACGGATTAATTTTCCTACGTTTTCTTTGTTTCGGTTGTTATGTTACCAAGTTAATGTTAATGAGATTGTCATATTTTTGTAAAATCGTGGTGATAATTAGATAAGTGATTTAACGCCAGCCCACATAAGAACGCTTACAGTCGAATCACAACAAACCGGAGGTCATTACGTACTTTAACCGTGGGATAACGGAGGTTATTTCTAATGACGTGTGTTGTTGATTTAGAACCTACCTATAAGCTAATAGCGAAACCAATACGTTTGTGCATACATGTGCCAATCTATATGTGTATTCAATAGAGAATTTTCGGACTGAAAATTAAAAACGTAAACATGGTTAATTGAGAATAAACAATCAACGGAAAGCATTCTTTGTCCAATTTGTGCTTCCGTTCTACCGAAAAAATATACACCAGAAGATTTATTATACATATGTATGGAATAAGTAGAGTACATGCACCAGATAAGTGATTTTTTATGATACCGGATAACCGGGTTCCCTTTATTCTTTTTGAATGAATTTTTCCGAAAACATGGGTTTTTATTCTAGCCATTGTGATTTAATGCTGCGAGATAAATGTCTGATTTTTTGTATGATAACAGACAAAGGTTTACACTAACTCGATACGTTTTTGGTTTTTAATAATATGGTCTTTAAAAGCTTTTACAAGTGCTTAAAGTTGATGTTTGTTGTAGGACACGTATTTTCAATAGAAATTAAAAAATTAAAAAATGGCCTTCAACAATCTTTAGAACAAAGCTTTATCTATCTTTCTACAAAATTTCAAACCTCTGTTGCAAACATTAAACTCATGATATCTAGAACCGATAAACTTTACTCTGCAGCGCATGTACTACTAAATACCCTTAATGTATCGCCATCTTTTGAGTATGTACGTACCGAGGCAGCTTTTATAAAAGATGGGAATTTGGGCTTCCGTTCTACCGAAATAATATACACCAGAAGATTTATTATACATATAAAATAAGTAGTATATGCACCGGATAAGTGATTTTTTAGGATACCGGATAACCGGGTTCCATTTATTCTTTTTTACGGAACCCTTATGACTCACCCTTTTTTTTTTTGGCGGAACCCCATCTCGATAATAAAGTAAACTAATAATAGTTTTATGTTCAACAGTAAGACCCCTGACACCTTATTGCAGTGGTTTCCAACCTGTGGGGCGCGACGCTTTTGCAAGGGGCCAGCTGTTTCCAAAATATCATTTTCGAATACAAACCGAAAAAGTCGAATAGGTGTCAAAAAATGAATCAGCAAAATAGGTATACGTAATCCACAATCCTCGCCGCGAAAATTATTATTGCTTATAATTAATANTATTTAAATTACATTTATAAACAAATAGAAAATAAAGATTAGTGTCCATTGTTGTTTCCAGAGGGATCAGTTTACTCAAACAAACAAAATTAGTTCCAAATTGGTGGCATGAAGTAAATTTTATACTCGACGACGCAGGAGACTTCGATGATATATATGTATATTTTTACATAATATTGTATATTATTTTGTAGCCCATTAAACAAATTATAATATCAGTTGAGTATTTATGAAATTAGATTGTTAGAAAAATTAAGGGGGCGCAGGTACAAATAGGTTGGAAACCACTGCCTTATTGTGTACATATGCTGAACTCAAAACGTATGTATTAAAACTGCACATTTTTACTAATAGTACCATTAGAATTAGGTGTAATGTCCATCAATTGAATTCAAATATCTGGAACAGCATCTAGTCAGATTCTGAATTTGTTTTTATTGTAGACGTAAACTGAAAAGCTTTTCTGTGATCTGTAAGTCGATACCAATTGAAACAGAAACCGTGGTAACCTTTTCAATTACTGTAGAGTATTCATCATTAATTGTATATTCAATAAAAAAATAATTCAAATTTGAATGATTCGATTCGAATGACGACCTTGTGATGATGATTCGGATGTACAGAGTTTTTAAGTTAAATTGATATTGTAACATGCTGTACCGGCCGGCCAGCTTGCTCCTTTGATAGGGCTATCGCTCAAAGCTAAAACGTAATTTGTTGTCTCATTATCATCAGTCCTAAAATTGAGAGTCACCTCCACTCTTTTCTATAATGATCTAATCTTTGCATTTCCCTAAAACTAATAGAGAAAAATATTTTTCTAATAATTTCTCTGAATAGTTTATATTTTCAAAAAAATTTTGAATACTTTCCGTGGTCGGGACCTGGTTGCCAGTTGCTTTTAGGATCATTTTAGGATCCCGCCGAGTAGCGAATAATGCTGTCGGGTACTCGGCGGTCACATTTTCGGTCAGGCTACTAATCTACCTATGCTATTACCATAAATACCTTATGTAAAACATTATTGTACATAATAGTGAAAATATGTAAGGTATTTATGCTATTACCATAAATACCTTATGTAAAACATTATTGTACATAATAGTGAAAATATGTATAGCGAGTAGTAACTGAAGGGGTGTTAAAATTCGTAAAAGAAATTTCAGTCTATTTGTTATGCAATTTAAAGTTACATTTAAATTTTGTAACATTATTCCGAAACAGTAAGAGCGCAAACAATTTTTATTGTTCCTCAGACTTGGAAACGCTCATAATGTAAGTACTAATAAAAATTCAATGAAATTAAGCAGTCTGCTACGTACTTTTTACGCATCGATGAAATACAAAGGTACGTTACGATTAGTATTGTATGTATGAGAAAACGTTACTTGAAAACCGTGACTAGCAGACTGACTTGTTTTTAAAAAAGAAGTGAATGATGTAATCACCATTGTAAAGTAACAGAATAACCGATAACATCAGATGCTATCAAAAGGCGAACAACAAAAAATAATAACTAAAAATAGAAGCTTTCGTCAATTCAATGAATAATAAGGTTGGTAATACTTTTTAACACTTAACAGTCCGCCCAGTGGCGTAGTGGGGGTAGTGATTAAGATAAAAAATGCTTTTTTAAGTCCATATGGTTATTTGTATACTATTAAGATACAAAACACCCTTAAAATATGTTTTGTTTGTTTATCTCTCTGTACAGATTAATGTTCGAAACAACTGAACTGATTTCGATTAGACCTTAAGGCATCAAAAATGTTTTACATGTGCCTAATTAAAGAATCGAATCTGAATATACAGAACTTTTTGAATGTAAATCTAACTTGAGTTGATATCAGAAATAACTTATTGATTGTGCTGAAATTGTCTAATTTAACACAGTTTAGTATAGATGAAACAAAAATTTAATTGTCGATGAAGGTAAGAAAAGGTCATTTCTAAATGCTCGTATTAGAAGAGCTGTAGCATCTTCTTCAGAAATACAGATTGTTGCTCACAACAGCTCCTTCCGTCTGAACAACCAAACCATTAAATATGTTAAAAATATAGTCCTCGTGGTTACTTATTAAATACCTGTCCGCGCCTCACAATAACTCGTTATTCTGATGTTTTTTTTTTGTTTTTGAATTTCACTGTGAGGAAAAGTATAACTTGTATTCTGTTTCATTACCTTCTTACCACAATATACGAGGGTGGATTGATAAGTTTCCGGCCTAACCAAGAGATGACGCCACTAGGCCTACCTTGAGGTGACATTCTATAGTACCATCCTTGGATAGCTTGTAGCTATAGTTTCAGCCCGATCTCCTTGCTAGTGTAGGTTTGACAGCNACTTTTAACTGTTAACTGTTGGTATACAAACCACAAAATAACACTGTGATGAAACAATTGTTAAGTATAATTAATGAAGCAGTGAAATTTACACAGTGCTTTTTACGACTATTTCGTTTAAACCGTATTCTTTCATGCATAAATAACAATTTTTGCAAGTACTCTTGCAGCATAAATATTTAAATTACATTTATAAACAAATAGAAAATAAAGATTAGTGTCCATTGTTGTTTCCAGAGGGATCAGTTTACTCAAACAAACAAAATTAGTTCCAAATTGGTGGCATGAAGTAAATTTTATACTCGACGACGCAGGAGACTTCGATGATGCGTTAGGAAACGAAACTCGAAACGATGAAAACAAAAACATGTAATAAAAATTTTGTGTGAAGAATAGGGTTGTCATAGTCGTTTTCTATGTTTCTTTGACGTTTCGGTAATCATGTCGTTGCCTTCCTCAAAAAAACAAATCAGATTTAAAATCACATTATTCGAATAATAAGAGCAAAACCGGGGAAATATCAAGAAACTTCGAACATCAAAATTTTGTTTCCAATTCTGCAACAGTCGCAGTACTCATAAAGGGTTGACACTTTTTAAAATAATCGGAGAAGATTAGGAAATGATAAAAACTGTATGTATAAAATATAGGGTTGTTCGGAAAGTCATTTCGTTTTTTACCGACAGAGGATTTAATTGTATTCTTTTGCACCCAACTTTACATTTAAGCCGTATAATTTTTATATGCTTTGAGAGCTCATATAGCAAGGCTTGTGTGTGAAAAATTCCAATTAATTCTACGCAGTAGTTTTTGGTTGGTGCCCTTTTAAATATGGAGAGCGATAAGCANCGCGAAACAACACAAATTACACCATTCCAGATGGGCCGAGAGCTGAGTGAGTATTATTTATACATAACTTTTTTGACCTGTGTCAAGTGTATTGAAATTTCTTTTGTTCACATATCCTATGTGGAGTATCTATAGTGTCGCTTATTGCAACAAAAAAATCGTTATTTAATCTCTCTCCTCTCTAATTTCTGAAATTAAAATTATGATGAATACTATAACAAAAATAAGTTGAGAACCTTTTAAAAATAACTTTCATAAATACGAATTTGAAATTAATCTTAAATATAAGTTTTGATGGGTACAATCTTTGCATGGGCTACACGATCTTTATTTCAGAAGGTATAGTTACTTCAAAATCTCATGAGCCTTCACATTCACTGCATTCCTACTGTACATTATGAAAACATTGGCTGTTAATTATGTGGCTCGTTTAATAACCAGAGAAGCAGCTCAAGCTAAACTATAAACAATGACTGCTAACGTTTTTAAGAAGTGTAGAAATCAAAAATATTCACTAACTTGAAACGGATAATAGATATTGCGAGTGTACAAAAAAGGAAATTTTTTGTCATTCTTTTAAATGTTACCTAATAGGTACAGTAGACATGCCTAAATGTCTAATTAGTGTTTTACACTATAATGCAACTTTAATCAAACATCCACGGGCATGTTCAAAGTTTCGAAATATTTTTGTGATTTGATAATTCAACATGTTGTCGATTATTCGTTACTATTCGTTCAACACTAATTATTTACCTATATGCAAGCGAGTTCGTTAACCATATAAAGTAGACGATAAAAAAAACATTTCAGCAAAACAACAAGCAGGTGATCAATTAAGCTCTGTCGAAACAGAACATTAAATTACCGTTTACAAAGTAAAACCTGCTTCTTCAGTACTTTTTGTTAATTAGTAACAAAGGGAATATGTAGGTATATGTATAAATTAGTACCATTGTAAAATATTTAAAAGCTTCGGCTGTAAAAAAAATTGTTGCAAAGCTTGTATCAATTGTCCCCCCAAAAAAAAGAGAAATTAATTTCAATTAATTCACATTCAAACTTAAACTTATGTATATGTTAATTATAAAGTTTTTTGTTTTTTTTTCCTTTTTTATTTTTTACGTTCACTACAGATATTTATAGCATAAGAAAAATGGAGATGTTATGAAAGTTGACAATGGAATAGATACGTGTTTATAGTCATGAGGAGGGTACTGGATCAGGAGCTAGGGATTCCTGACAGAAATAGGAGTAAAGAGTGGCAGTGGTAGACATTCATCATCATTATCATAAGGGCGTCAGTCCTAACACTGGTTGGACACGCACCTCCACTCTTTCCTATCCTAAGCTGTTCTTCTCACTTCCCCAAAAATTAGAACAAACCACATCCTTGACTATTTGCCAACAGTAATCTAATCTAGGCCTACTTCTACCCCTCCTAACTCCCTTTTCTGCCTCTAATATGTCTCTGACTAGACCTTCATGCCTCAGAAGGTGTCCTACCAACCTATCTCGCCTATTTCTTATTGACTTCCATAGACTCCCCTGTTCTCCTATTCTTACTAATACCTCTTCATTTCTAACCTTCTCTATTAACAGTATCCTCATCATTCGCCTGCAACAGCACATTTCCAACGCTTCTAACCTTTTCTTTTTCGCAGCGCCCACCATCCATGTTTCGCACCCGTACAGTGTTGCACTCCAAACATACACCTTTAACAATCTTTTTCGAATTTCTATATTAACCGTTCGCGAGCATAAAAGTGACTTCTTTTTATTGAAGGCGATTCTACCCATCGCTATCCTTTGCCTTATATACCTAGTACTCCATCCGCCCTAATTTATCTGACTTCCTAGATACCTAAAATCGGCCATTTCTTTTAATTTTTCGTCTCCTATCTTTATATTCGCTCTTTCCCTACTTTTTCTTCCCTTGCATACCAATATTTTTGTTTTACTTTTATTTATTTTCATACAGTACTATTTTGTAGACATTACTGTTCGTAAAAAAAGATGTAGGTTTCTCTAGTTTTCGAGAAATGCGAGGATTGATTCATGATAGGAAGACCGAAGTTTTCAAGCACAATATACATTTATTACAGGTAGGGTGTATCGAAGTAACTTTTCGGTATTCTAGACAGTCTTGATCTTGGCGTTGATCTTGCATTTTCACAAAGAAAAATTCATAACATTTGTTTTTCTGTCCAAACAAAACTAACTGAGAAAAGTAAATTCGGGAAATGTTGAAAAATATTTGTTATTTTATAGTGGGAAATTTTCCGTGTGGACCTCATGGTTCACTGATTGATCGTGAAACTCTTCGATTTCAATCAGATATAAATAATACCCACTATATGTATATAGGTGTAAGTATAAATATGTAAGGAGAACTGTTTGTAAATAAATTTATACATTTTCAATTTATCCTAAAAATAAATGCTACTTATCTCCTCCAACTTTAATCAGACAATATGTATAAATTTTTGTGTACACCTTTCCACTGCGATCTTGACCAATTTAAATAAAGTTCTTAATTACGAAAATAGAAAGGGAAGCAAATTTAAGCTTCGTCCTGGGTGGCAGATATGCAGATAACGATATCAGACAAGGTTGTTCTGAAAATGTACTAGACATCTTTGCTTTGTTCTTGTATTACCTTGTAATTATATTACTTTTCTCTTTGTTACAGGATGATGGTGACATAGAATTTTTCAACACAATTGTAATTCAACCTCACTTAAAATTAGTAACTAATCAGGGAAAAGGATTTCACATTAGGTGTAGATATAGTGCGCGAAACAACACAAATTACACCATTCCAGATGGGCCGAGAGCTGAGTGAGTATTATTTATACATAACTTTTTTGACCTGTGTCAAGTGTATTGAAATTTCTTTTGTTCACATATCCTATGTGGAGTATCTATAGTGTCGCTTATTGCAACAAAAAAATCGTTATTTAATCTCTCTCCTCTCTAATTTCTGAAATTAAAATTATGATGAATACTATAACAAAAATAATTTGAGAANCGAGCAAAGCTGCTGGTAAAACCTATCATAAAATTTTGTACACACATTTTTAGGTACAGAAAAGGGCATAAGAAACTTTTTATCCAGAAAATAAATACTGTTTCAGAGGAATAGAAATATTAATCTTATGTAGCTGTCTATGATGTTTGACACGTATTAAGGACATGTACACGAGCGAAGCCGCGGGTAAAACCTATCATAAAATTTTGTACAGACATTGTCATGGGTACAGAAAGGGACGCGTAATCTACTCTTCCCTAGGGTTTGAAAAAAATAATTTTGTGGTCTTTAATGATCTTGAGCACGCATTGAATATTATCTGACTTCCTAAATGCCGAAAATCAGTTAAAGATTATTATTACTGCCTCAGAATTTGCCTAAGTGAAATTACAGAAAAACTTAGACCGAGCAGACGGGTCAGAAATCGAACCGGTGCCCTCCCGATTGCTAAGCAGTAATACAAAAGCTCTAATGTTAAAGTCTAACCTCTAGGGTCTAGGCTATGTCACTGGTTACCACTTAAGCGGAATCGTTTGCAAGATAATGTACGGTCATGAAATTGACCAACTCGAACATTAACAAATCGCTCTAGTAAAACGTGATTGACCCTTTTCCTAGGCAAAACATCTCCGATTAAATTGATAATAGTGATCACGTCCTTCTTTGACTAGTTCTCGAGTTTAATAATATTAATTACGTATCTCTCCTTTTTTGCAGTCGTTTGACTTCAGATGATCACGTTCAGACGAACCCGATGCCTGGCTGTTCGATGAAAATTTTTTCGGGGGATCCCACGCAACACGAAGTTGCCGAAAGCGTTAAAATAGGCGACCCCTTGACCCTCGTCGTGTCGATAGACGAACAGGACACCTACGGACTGAGAGTAACGGACTGCCTGGTGCGGGACGGACTCGGATGGGGCGAACAAAAACTCATCAACGACGACGGTTGTCCGCTTGACAAGGAGATCATGGGAGTCTTCGAGTATTCCAAGGGCAGAACGAGAGCTTCTGTGCAATTCCAGGCTCACAAATTCCCTTACACCGCATCAGTTTACTATCAGTGCAACGTCAAGCTCTGTCTAAAGTCTGATAATGGCTGTGAATACGTGACGGTAAGTGTGTTGCTGTTTAATTTTTGTTAGCGCACTGAAGTGTTATTAGTGTATACAGGGTAGTCGATTAAGCGCGTCTTGCTCTCTAGCGGTCTTGCCGTTGAAATTAGAAGAAATGTTTCCAAAAAAGAATGTTCTTGGTCAAATCATCCATCTGCAGCAATTAATTTTAGAGATGGCGGACTTCCGGAAGTGTACATCAGCTGCCTTATTTTAAATGGAACACCCTGTACAGTAAAAGTTATTTATTCACTGTTTCCGTATTCGCGTTTTCATTATTCGCGGGCGAAAAAATTTGCAACCCAGTTCCTGTATTCGCGGTTAAAAATTTCATTACTCGCGGTTGCAATCGGTAAACAGAAAAGGATTCGGTGTCATTTATCAAGGGGATTGACCGCAATAGACCGCTCGTGCCTCGTATGATAACAGACAAAGGTTCACACTAACTCGGTACGTATTTGTTTTCCAATAATATGGTCATTAAAAGCTTGTACAAGTGCTTAAAGTTGATGTTTCTTGTAGGACACGTATTTTCAATAGAAATTAAAAAATTGAGAAATGCCCTTCGACAAGCTTTAGAACAAAGCTGTATCTATCTTATTACAAAATTTCAAACGTCTGTTTTAAATATTAAACTTATGATATCTAGAACCGATAAGCATGTTTTTACTCTATGGCGCGTGTATCACTAAATCCCCTTACTGTATCGGAATCTTTTGAATAGAAAAGGATTCGGTGTTATTTTTCAACGTATCAGCATCTTTTGAGTACTATTGGCTCGTGCCGAGGCGATTTTTATAAAAGACGTATTAATTTTGTAATAANTATGAAAATGTAACCGAGTGGACTAATTCAAAATTCAAAACAAGAAAAAAATCACTAAATTTTTTAAACTCTTACCTAAAGCTGATTATAACGATTAATTTTAATTGCGAATTTATCAATACATTGATTTTATTTTGATACATATTGGTTTTATTTTGGAACCTTAGAACGTATCCCCTATGATTCCATAGTAATTACCATTCCATACCCACGGTTTCTGTATTCGCGGCATATTTATGGAACGTACCAATATCCCGCGAATAAAGAGCTTTTACTGTTTATTATTACATTTTTGAATTCAGCATCGATTTTAATGTCGAGTTTGTTACACATTGTCCACTTTTGGACATTTAATGACACGGATTGTAATTGTCGTAGTTACTTGTTTCGGGGTAATCATTGTTGGTGCTTACCTACAATAAAAATTTCATGGAAAAAATCACGCGAAAATCACGAAAATGTAAAACCAGGTTTTCCTAAAAAGAAGGCAGAGAAATGACCCAAAATGGTTTTAAAACGATTTTTTAGAACACTATTTGTTCGCAAAGATTTGCTCTACAACCCTGCTATGAAAGTTTTATGAAAATCGATTCAACACCTCGAATATATGTTTGGAAAACAAGCCCTTTCTTATTTAAAGATTAAAGAATAGCGACGTATATTTTTAACCCACAGGTTTCACAAGTACAAAAATATTATTTCTGTTCAGAATTGTAAAATTTCGTCGCTTATGTCTTTGTTCCAGATGTTGTTATAAGACAGTACTACAGAATTATTAAATTAAATTATACTTTTTTGCAAATGTTTTTTTTTCTGTTCTGAACAACTTTTAAAGTGGCAAATACAATTCGACTTATTTTAAAGATGAATAGAAACCGAAACTTCCCTTCAGTACTTCACATTTCAAACAAAAAGCTAAAAATCTATTTTATTATTTCGATTAAAATATTTATAGTGTTTTAATTCAATTTAAAGTTTCTAACCGGAGTCATCAGAATTTATTCCGTTAAAATAACAACCATATGTTCAATAAAACAAATTATTCGTGAAGCCAATAACAAGTAAAAAAACACGTCTTTTCATATGGGTATTCTATTTTAGAAACAGGTTTTCAAATAAATTTGACTACTAACAAACGAGAATTAAGAAGTTACAACACATTTAATGTGCATGTTTATGATTAAAATCTATCTAATGTATAGAGTGAAAGTGTAGTAAATTTAAATAAAGATAAAAAGTGACAGAGTAAGTATTTTAAAGGAGAAAATTAAAAAAATATTATGAAGAGGTAAAGTTTGTAGGTTTGGATGTAGGAGATAAACTTCGAAAGAACTTTTAGGCTGAACGTAGACTATATTCCATTATTCCATTGCAATAAATGGTCTTTTCGTGGAGATGCCAAGTGGGCGAAGTCGCGGTCACAGCTACTTTTCGATAAAAATATATATTGGGATCAATTTCCAAGCGCATTATTGTCTATTAGAATGGTAACATGCTACTGGGATCTTTTTGATAATTTTACATTTATTCAGTCTTGTAATCAGATTAGAACTCCTGCACATTAAAATACTTGATAACCTCTTCCCGTTGATTATATCCTACAGAATGAATAATCTATCCAGAACGCATTTCGTCCTGAAATGTTAACGATGAGTATTAAGCCTGACAAGTAAATATGTTCATTTACCTAACGGATTTTAATTAGACATATTTTAAATATACGTACGTATGTGGTTATCAAGAACTTGTTTGAATTCAAAGTAATGTTCTACCGGCAACAGTATAATTACAGGAAAATGATGTCCGCTTTATAAATATCTATATACATCTACACCCATTAATGGCCAGGCGATTTGCAATAAACTGTTTGTTTATAAACTATGAACATTGAAGCAATAACTACTTTACATATTCAAATATGTAGTAATCTCATGAAATTTTGTACAGACATTGTCATGGGTACAGAAAGGGACGCGTAATCTACTCTTCCCTAGGGTTTGAAAAAAATAATTTTGTGGTCTTTAATGATCTTGAGCACGCATTGAATATTATCTGACTTCCTAAATGCCGAAAATCAGTTAAAGATTATTATTACTGCCTCAGAATTTGCCTAAGTGAAATTACAGAAAAACTTAGACCGAGCAGACGGGTCAGAAATCGAACCGGTGCCCTCCCGATTGCTAAGCAGTAATACAAAAGCTCTAATGTTAAAGTCTAACCTCTAGGGTCTAGGCTATGTCACTGGTTACCACTTAAGCGGAATCGTTTGCAAGATAATGTACGGTCATGAAATTGACCAACTCGAACATTAACAAATCGCTCTAGTAAAACGTGATTGACCCTTTTCCTAGGCAAAACATCTCCGATTAAATTGATAATAGTGATCACGTCCTTCTTTGACTAGTTCTCGAGTTTAATAATATTAATTACGTATCTCTCCTTTTTTGCAGTCGTTTGACTTCAGATGATCACGTTCAGACGAACCCGATGCCTGGCTGTTCGATGAAAATTTTTTCGGGGGATCCCACGCAACACGAAGTTGCCGAAAGCGTTAAAATAGGCGACCCCTTGACCCTCGTCGTGTCGATAGACGAACAGGACACCTACGGACTGAGAGTAACGGACTGCCTGGTGCGGGACGGACTCGGATGGGGCGAACAAAAACTCATCAACGACGACGGTTGTCCGCTTGACAAGGAGATCATGGGAGTCTTCGAGTATTCCAAGGGCAGAACGAGAGCTTCTGTGCAATTCCAGGCTCACAAATNAGAGTATTGGCGCGAACGTGACTATATCCTGGGTTCGATTCCCGACGAGGGCGTGACAACAGCATTAATTAATAAAATGATGATATAAGATTCCTGAGAGCAATGTTAATTTTTATGGTTTTGTTTGTATAAAAATACTTCATTATTACCCCAAAAATAAAACATCCAGCGTTATAATTTTTGTGAACAAAATTATTCTGCAAAATAGAAAAAGTATTACATACTTGACAATGAGTTTACATCTCGAACTTGCACGATAAAAATTCAATATTCATCAATAATATTCTCGTGACCTAAGATATTGTCTATACTACAACATTGTAGTAAAATAACTTTGTAAATCATTTAGTCGGTAAGCTGTCCATTTACGGATGCTAAAGCCGATTTGTATATTAAACGTTTGTAACGGTGCTAGCTAGCTTTTGCCCTCTCGACCTGACCTTACCTCTCATCTGCAATAAGTTACGAAAATTGTGCGATAAATACTTTAACAAAGTCAATGTGAATATACCGGATGTTTGATTTCCAAGTTTATTCTTTCAGATTTGTCGCAATTTGTAATTTTTGCTGTATGCGTTATTCTTAAATTGTTTAAAATTCATAAAAGTCACAATTACCCTGAAAAAATATGTTGATGTTGAAATATGTAATACTAGACAGTTTTTACTCACGGTTTTGTTCGCGTTGATATTCTAATATAAATGCGTGTCAAAAGATCATTGACGACCACACAAACAAATTTTTCTATTCCTCGGGAGCGGCATTTTTTTCTGTGTCCTTTTCTGTACTCCTGAAAATATGTTCACAAAATTTCATGATGATCGGTTGAATAGTTGAGGCGTGAAATAGTAACAAACCAAACAATTAAGTGTAAATAGTTTACATTTTTATTTCTAACATCGGCCTAATTAGTATAATTTTCACCAAAAAAACCTGCAATGTTTAAATCATTAAACATCAAATTAGAATTCTTAAAATTAAAACACAGAAACAAAAACCAGTAATTTTTGGTCAACTTTTCTATTTTACAACCAGGTTTTTGTGTAAGAAACTATTTTAATCAAATAGTAACCTAACATATTTCAACGAAAGTTAATCTTACTGTACAATGTCAGTATAATAATTTGATATCTTATAGAGGCATTCGATTTAGAGAAATTTTAAAATGAATGTAACGAAATTCGATGCTGGGTTAGGCGAGTAACCCGCATGTCGGTATCGTCAAAATTCACAAACGCTAACTAAAGCGTTAACTTTTTTTATTGTAAACGTATAAAAACAGCTTCTTCCGACAATTGCGATTGTAGTTGAATCAAAATTGTCATTTTTAGCCTCCCGAGTGTGGAATCAGCAGCAACCGAATTCGAAGGCAGGCTATAGACCCTAGCAGTGAAGGAACTCCAGCAACTATCGAGGTGTACAGCGGCCTTTATGTCAACGAAGACAACGACCCCGAAAAAGCTGCACCTGAAGACGGCGCTGTTTACAGCAAAAAGGTAAAGAATGATTATGCCTCTTAACTTTTTTTTGCAGACTTTAATTAAACCTGTTTTTCATTCGCTACATAACCGTCTTCATTTACTTCCACTATTCGTAAGTAAAAGACACGCCTGATGTTCGAAAGAACGAACGTTCTTATTTAAATTTCTCTATTCGAAATCAAATGAAAATGTGTTGAATTAGAAAAAACATTTGTGATATGATTGATATTAAAGGGGCCAACTATTTTACAACAAAAAGTATAACACAGATTCAAGAAACAACTCCAACAATGATCCATAATGCATAATAAAGACATCTGTAACATTTTATTCTACAATTAATCTTATTTGTCTTTTAATTTCATTATTTAAGTATTTTTCAAGTACTTTTGGTTTGGATTCTCTTAAAAAGTAACGAATAAGTATCTACAAAAGTACTTAGTTCTTTCAAAGACTTTTTTTATGTAGCTTGAAGAACATCACGCACATATCACACAGATATTGTTTTAATTGGTAACGATGATTTGCATTTACCTTCTTTTGATTGCGATAACAAAATAACCAAGCCCAAATTACGTATTTTGTTGTTTTAATTATTATTTAGAATTTATTAAATATTAGGTACCTACACATAAAATCTAAAAACAAATAACGACATCCCATTATATCATTTGATTAAGCAAAACTATTAAAAGTTTTGCTAATAAAAATTCAAAATCCGCTTTCTGCATTAGTGGTTAGTGTTTTATTGACACAGAAACAACTTGGCCTTTTGTCGTTAAATTGGTAAATATTGCATTTTATGGGTAAACGATGTTGAAATCAAAAACCTACTTCTACTTTTCTGTAAATAACAACAGAATTAGAAAAACATCATGACTCTATCATTACAACATTGAGAAAATACTTGTCTTGACATATTTTTTATTTTCTTTACACGTTTAGCAAATTTTAGTAGTTTCTTGCAATTAATAAAAGTATTTTCAGGCTCGCTCCACAGATTATAAAAATATTGCACCAAAAGTGCGGATATAGTTCAGTTATGTAGAAATTTTAAGAACATAGCATGCTTATCTTTTGCAAAAATAAAAAATTTCATATGACTACATAATTAGCAGTTCCCTACTTAAATTTTCTTAGTGCAATTAGTGTACAGATGTAATGTTTTTTGTTAATAAATAATAAATAAATATTAACTGTTAGGTGCAACTTACACGTTATACGAAAATTTTTTTTGAAGAGGTTAATATTTAATCTTTTTAATGTTGACACCCTCGCCGGGAATCGAACCCACTACGTTTAGTAGTCAGAGTATTGGCGCGAACGTGACTATATCCTGGGTTCGATTCCCGACGAGGGCGTGACAACAGCATTAATTAATAAAATGATGATATAAGATTCCTGAGAGCAATGTTAATTTTTATGGTTTTGTTTGTATAAAAATACTTCATTATTACCCCNTATTATATATTTTGAAATGTTTTCGTTAATCGTTATTATTCTTCATACTTTTGCGAGCTATCCTTATTAGAAATGTGTGACAAATATTTTCGTGCGGTGATCTAGTCTATTTTAAGGCATCTTTAAAGGTGTCTTAAGTAACCGCATTACGCGTTTCTGTTATGGTAAGTGCGGATATTATTATTTCATTACCTTTTGCCGTACCATTTCAGTCATCAAGTGAAAGCTTTTGGTAACGTTCATAACACACATATTATACGTCAGTTGTATGACATTCACTTTTCACGTTACCTTCAATTTCGTTGGTTCTAATTACAAATGCACAAGTACCCTATACTTGGACTGAAACAAAATACTACGTGGGTACTTGGCATATTTGATACATATACATACATGTTATATGTGCCCACAGTTGTTATTATACTTACTCAAAATTGTAAATACGCCAGAAGCAAATTTATTGTTCTTATTTTTAGTGAATTAGGTTCATTTTGTATACTTATTACTTTCTTCATAATTTTTATTTTATTGTTTTAATAACATTTTTTCGACATTTCTCCAATTTCATTTTTCATTTGAGTGTTTGATTTGTCCCAACTAAAATTACCGAATTATTTGAAAAGTGGAAATATTTATCAAATGCGACTCTCATATTCTCATCTCTTAATAGAAATAGACAACTTCAACTTTATCTCAAATTCATAGCTTTTATAATACGTAGTGGCTTTGTAAATTCTTTATTATTTTCATGATCATAAGTCGTCTGTCCAAAGATTGGTTGGATACGCACCTCCACCCCTTCATATCTTGAGCCAATTTTTGCATTTCCCAAAAATTTGAAAATTCCACATCCTGTGTACTGCTGTTTCGACTTCTCTAATGTGTTTCTAACAAACCCTTCATGCCTTAAAAGGTATCCCACCTTATCTCCCATTTCTTTATTGACACACATAGCTATCCTCTGTTCTCATACTTTTCTCATAATATTACCTCATTTCCAACCTTTCCTTTCCACTATATTTTCTTTTTGTTTTATCTAATACAAATCTTTCTATTTGAAGAACAGAATGTTTTGTTTTCTATGTCTTAAAATTAAATTTTTGTTTCAGACTTCAGATGACAGTATTTGCATATCGCAGCACAGTTTTGCAGTTGGAATTTGTGTGGCTGGATTAATTTTAATGTTAGCTGTTGTAGCAGCAATTTTATGTCTCCTTGCAAGTAGGAGACGTCATAAATCCACTTCAAACACAGGCAGCTCAATATACAGTGGTCCATATACAAACACTGCCTATAGTCACACTAGTTAGGAACTTAACTTTATTTTCAAATTCCTTCTTACTATTTCCCTTCAATTAATTACGACGAAATCAACGAGACGATTAATCGACTTTCAAACGATTGAACGCCATTAAAGAAAAGTGATAACAGTAGGTTTTAGGTGCCATTGCAACAACTATTTACTTTTTTAATTTTTTAAAGACTTGCTCACGTTAGTCATACTTTGCTCCTTTAAACTGCCATACACCTAAATTGCTTATATTAAGGGTGACTTAAGAACACGTAATTAGAGTTACATAAATTAAAATCAATCTATAATAACAAAATATAAACATATTTATCTAGAAAATACGTATTTCGATTTTAGTATTAATTGTATTTCCTATTTTTCGTATGGTAGGTAGATACTATACATGCAATTCAAGCTTTAATATTTGGAGCAATTAGGTTTAATATGGGATTTTGGTGAAGGGTATCTATTAATAAATTTGCAAATTCTGTAACAACAGCATGTACAAAACGTACAGCTCTTGTTAAATTTGCAAATGTTTTGTTATTTTTATACATTTACAAATAATCGTTTGAGATGATGTTGCATTTTTTCAATATAATTTTAATAGTTGGAATGTTATTAATCTGTAACTGTAGACATTTTAACTTATCTGACCTGGAGTCACAGTGACATTGATTACCTCTAGTTTGTATATATTTCTATACGAATTTAATGTCGCTCTGATTCATGGTCAACAAGTCACGTTACAGAACAAAGTAAATTTGTTTAAATCAAAAGACTAAAAGGTGCTTATAACAATTTTTATTTAACACTTGTTTTACATTTATAAAACGAATAAAACATTTTGTATAATTGACTGAACTTTATTTATCTACATTATTTCTTTTTTTATTTTAATTACAAAGGTAAAAAATACATAGGTATTACGTAATCGTTTTAAATAAAATTATGCGAACAACACACTTCATACATTCAAATAAATATCATACTTTCCATCTTTATTAAAAAATATATACTGTTAATTCATGTGAAATTGAGATGTAATATCCATGCGTTGCATGAAACAAGCACTTTTTTCTCTAGTAATTTCTACTCTACAAATCATAACTATCAATAATGGTAATAACGTTTCCCTATGAACCATTGATTTCCTTTTTAAAATAAGCCGTCTCAATTCGTTTTGCAAGGTCTATTAATAACGGGAAATTTTTTACTATATTTGCAAGATGACTGTTTGGAAGTGGAGTGGTGATAATCGCGAATAGATGTCCAAAAACTAGGGCGTCCAACTCTGTCGGTCTGAAAGGTGCGTTTTAAAAGATTGTTACACCAACTAAATAAGTATTATGTTGGAGTAACAACATCAGCGTGACATGCAGTGAATTGACAAAATTTGATCGATTTTCTGTAATATGCTTGTTAAATATGATAAATAAGTATTTCACTGTAGATTAATACCTAAGAAGTTAGAAGGAAAAATTCGTAAGCACAAAACAAAGAATATAGCTCCAGTTTTTTGGGAAACGTGAAAATTGGCTCAAGACAGGAAGGGGAATAATGGATTTCGAAATTAAAACAAAATAATATAAACGAAGTAAGCATCATTAGCAAGTATTATGTGTGTATTAGTTTTTTAATTTCAATATTCAACATTTATTGATATACGCTTTCATAAAAAAAAATTTTGTAACAAGTTCTTCATTTGTTTATTAAATCAAATACATATTTCACATTAAATTTAAAAGTTTTTCATAATCAAGTAGAAATTTGCAAAAAACAAATTAATGAGAAAACTACCATTAAATAATTTGGAATTCAGCAAGAAATGAATTATCAAATTCGACATCAATTATTTTTGAAAATTAATTGTTATATCGAAAGAGAGACTAAGGTATCGACAGCCGCGTTTCTAAGCGGGAGCGTCCTATTGTTATTCGAATATTTAACCAAGTAAGCATTGATCGATTTAGTCCGCGTGGGCGACTGCTACGGTATGTTCTACATTTTGCTGTGCTACAAGAGTCAAATTTTTGTTATTAAAACTCTGAGAATCAACTATTTGATGCTGAAATTCAATTCTGAAGTTCGATAGAAATTAAATCCATTAGTCTGAGTTGAACATCCGAATGTTTTTAGAGGAAATTGCTTTCTGCCTCAGCGATTTTTCATAGTAAATTCGGCGACTGTTGGAAGTTAAATAGAGGTCGAACATAATTCTACTACATTTTGAAGGCTAAGAACTGATGGCATTAGTCATGGTAACTTGGTAACGAAAATAGTGATGTAGCAGCCGTACGTCCTTAATAATAAAATGATAATTTTTGTTTATTTATAGATGTAATCAACGATAAGTTCCTGAAAGCATTTATATTTTCTTAGCGCAAAAAAGGAACACACAGATGTAATGTTTTTTGTTAATAAATAATAAATAAATATTAACTGTTAGGTGCAACTTACACGTTATACGAAAATTTTTTTTGAAGAGGTTAATATTTAATCTTTTTAATGTTGACACCCTCGCCGGGAATCGAACCCACTACGTTTAGTAGTCAGAGTATTGGCGCGAANATTATAGTTTACAACTTCAGAAACCTACAGGCAAAATTTGGCTAAAAAGACATTTAAACTTCTAAAATGTTATTAGGTGAAAATATTAAACTTTAATAAGGAGTTCTTAATACAATAAACATAATAGATAATAAACTTACTGATTTCCAAAAAAATATGGGCTTTCTTGCTTCTGTAATCTAATGCTTAAAGATTCACAACATCTTTCCACCTCACCATAAACATCTTCTAAGGATTTTTCATACCATTTCATGACTTTTAAATGATTAACAACTTGATATTTTTTTGTCCATGTTTGAATTAAATTTAGAGGCCATGGATAAACACAACCATACCTTGGCTTTGTTACTTCATTATATGTTTCTGAATCACACCAGCAAATATATAACTACAAATAGGGAACCATAAATGTTATTTACTAAAAAGAAATGTACTAACTACTGACCTCAGCATTTTCTAGTACATTTCGTACTAAAGAGGTATATGCACGTAATTCTGATTTTTGATTATCATCTAATTTTGATGTTAGGGATATATCCTTTTTAGAAACAAAGTGAACAATTCCTTCAAGTTCAGATATGACAAAGGCCCCGCATTTAATGAATGGAACTTTTCCTGATGGGGACATAAACTCTGCATTAGCCCTTGGTTCAACTTCATAGTGAAGGTTACACATTTTCAAAAACGCTTGAACAGCAAGACAGTTTGCGTTGTCTGGAAGTAATATTTGTTCTACTTCAAATGGCTGATACAGTTTAACATCTTTAGGCCATGGTTCTTGAGCTAAAAGTAATAATAAATTTAAATACTCTAATAATTTTTATATTTATTGGCACTCTCTGCCCACTCATTCATTATTTGTGTAATTTGTATTTTGGGTTCTGGAGCCTTTCTTGTGCGGCCTTCATGAATTACTTATGTTAATTACTTACTGAATACTTATATTAATTAATATTTAATAATTTGAAAATTAATTGTTATATCGAAAGAGAGACTAAGGTATCGACAGCCGCGTTTCTAAGCGGGAGCGTCCTATTGTTATTCGAATATTTAACCAAGTAAGCATTGATCGATTTAGTCCGCGTGGGCGACTGCTACGGTATGTTCTACATTTTGCTGTGCTACAAGAGTCAAATTTTTGTTATTAAAACTCTGAGAATCAACTATTTGATGCTGAAATTCAATTCTGAAGTTCGATAGAAATTAAATCCATTAGTCTGAGTTGAACATCCAAATGTTTTTAGAGGAAATTGCTTTCTGCCTCAGCGATTTTTCATAGTAAATTCGGCGACTGTTGGAAGTTAAATAGAGGTCGAACATAATTCTACTACATTTTGAAGGCTAAGAACTGATGGCATTAGTCATGGTAACTTGGTAACGAAAATAGTGATGTAGCAGCCGTACGTCCTTAATAATAAAATGATAATTTTTGTTTATTTATAGATGTAATCAACGATAAGTTCCTGAAAGCATTTATATTTTCTTAGCGCAAAAAAGGAACACACAGATGTAATGTTTTTTGTTAATAAATAATAAATAAATATTAACTGTTAGNAATGAAAGCTTGTATTAAAGAAATTGTTGCATAAGTAGTTAATAAAACTAAAAGCTGACATTTCCACGTATCCGGTATGGTCTAGTGGCTAGGATACCTGGCTCTCACCCAGGAGGCTCGGGTTCGATTCCCGGTACCGGAAAACCTTTTTGTTCCAATAACGGTCTTTTAAGATGTTAAAGTAAAATAAGAGTCTAAATTTTTGAATATGCATTTTAATTTTTGAGTAATAGTGTTCTTATAAAATAATGACTACAAAAATATTTGACATGCTTTAATTTAAAATTCATTTTCGTCTGGAATGAGTTGCCCATTGCCATAAAGTTCATATACAAGTCCTTTTTTAGTAGCTGAAGTAGCTTTTATTACACCATCAAAGTCATCAACTTTAAATCGAATTTCTGTTCCGTTATCGATGAATGTATTAATGGTTTCTTGTAAATTACCATTAATCCATACATTGAGATTTTGTTTTTCTAAAATATATACATTATTATTTGTTGTGTGGTATTTTATGGCAGATCGTATGCCTTTTGACTTTATTCTTTAGTAGTTAGTACCAGTTCCCAGTTGAATGTATGTTTCACGTTAATACACTGATATTTAGACATACACCAGTGGTGAATTGAGACCAAACATCATCTTATGATAAACACGGCGTGGTATATAAAAATTCGTTGTAATTTTTTCATATAAATAATAAAATATACTTTAAAACAATATACATTTCTTTATAATACATTAAACAACAATATCTAATTTTTATTATTTAGAAAAAGCATGGAACCAATCATGACTCTTCTTCACAAGGCATTATTTGAATTTTACCACTTTGGGGGTAAAGAGGATGCCACCAATTCAAAATTTTTAAATCAATAACTGGATCTATAACACAAGTATTTTCAGTTTGAAGATTGTGAGTAGTACTTCTGATTGCAGAACCAAAGCCTAAATGCAATGAGTGATGGCAATAACCCTTGCTTAATGGTTGACTAACTGATGTTAAGGTCAGTCCTAACACAATTGGAATTGCAACAAAATTGGTACTTCTTACTTGTAGTACAGTACAATTTTCATCTGGATTAGCAGATATATCACCCAACACTTTAATCAAATTCAAATGGTTATAAGTTCCCTGACTACAATGAGGTGGTTTTATGAAGTCCTTTAATTTAAAGTAGTAAAACCAATCCTTTTTCTTCTTTTCATGCCACTGAAGTATGCACTGCTTATGTTTCAAAAGATTTGGATCGTTTTTTGTAATACCATTAAGATACAATAACCTTGATACAAATGGTGGATATACACAATAAAGGGCTCGAATCACAGTTGGTTTTAGTCCATAAACACGATTGATGCTGTCTGGCTGATAAACTTTAGGTAAGTTTTTAGCATTTTTACAAAATCTATCATAAAGTCTTCTCCAAAAGGCAACTGTTTTCACAACTTCATAAGAATGTCTACAAACTGCTGCAAAAACTGATATATCTTCTGGTCTAATATATTCTGACAATAAAAACCATAAGTCCAAAGGATAAACGTGACCTGTATTCTCTTTCATATTTTTATTATCGCTTGTGCTATTAGTTCTTGCTTTTGCAACCAAAGAGAAAGTCCCATCTTCATTTTCCTGGCTAATAAAATCAAAATTGCTGTCATATTCTTCCTTTTCGTCCCATGACTTCTCTTTTTCTATTGTGTGAAGCACAGAAATCACATTACTGACTAACTTCTTTGGCCTGTACACAGGTTTAACCGAATTAGCAAAGTCATTAATGGTTACATCTGCAATTATAGAGATCAATTAAAGATTTTCAGTGTAAATTATGAATGCTTACAAACCTGCAAGAGAGTTGTTCTTCAACTTATGCAACTTCGTTCTTGATTTGCTCATTACTGCACAGGATACAAACTAACAGCAAGTAAAGAATCCAATTACGGCCAAGTAAATAATAAATTATTAATGTTAACACCTACTGCAATTTTATTTTATCTTCATTCGGTTTTAAGTTTACAAAGTCGTAATTTCATAATATCATGAGAAGACATGAGTGATGAATTGTCTAGTAACTACAATTACCATTTGTAGATAAAAATACATAGAAATATTTCCTTTACGTCTTCACCACATTTTTAAATCGCTTTAAATTCTAATTTTTGTGAATGTGGGATTCTTAATTTTTGGTTAAAATGCATCATAGAAATGCATAAAAGGTTACCACAGAGTAGAGAGAACCGACCACTGTGTCAAACAAATATATTCACCAGATATTCACTTACAAAAAATAAAAATCATAAACCCAATCAGACTCATAGACACAATTGTTAAATATAACAATCTTCTTGTTTACTTTCCGTTAGCAAATAGCAGCTAATGTTTTCTTTAAACGCCTTTATGCAATTATTTTGTTAATGCTGAATATAACATATTTCAGATTACGTATTTTGTTGATTGAAATTAATGTGATACGGCAACTGTGGCAATGCTTAACTCTACGTATATCTATTATCTATGGCTCAATTTTAAACTTTTTTCCATAGAATATAATAAGGTTCACTGTTTGAACGTGATTACAATCACAGCATACGGAAAATTCAAACAAAATAAAACAACTTACCTCCTTTCATGAATAATCCTACTGTTGCAGTATAATGTTCTGAATCGAAGGGTACCTAGGTACACAAACAAATTTTACATTATAATATATTTTAATAAGTATTTCATGTTTACCTCCGAAACACTTTCTTCTAATATTTGTGTTAATATATTCTTATTCGGAATTTTATTTGTATTTGATTCATATTTTGAATTCACTTGAAGTTTTATACACTTTTCACCAATTTCTTCTTTAATTTCAATGCTGTTTGATGTTTCTAAATTGTGACTTTCTTCGAATAAAGTATATGAACTGTTTGCTCTAGATTTGACTTCTATTTTGCAATCAGACGTAAAAGTTTCAAGCTCAATTTCGGAGTTTTGCTCACTTTTGGTGTTGACAGAAATGCGATGCGTTTCAACATTGCTAGAAACAGGCGGAACATCCTCATCAACCACTGGAATTGTAAACGATGAAGATGTTTTGAATGTAATTTTATAATTCACTTCATTTTTCGATTCTTCAATTGAAACATTGTTGTAAACGGAAATGAGTTAGTTTTTTATCAAATAAATTGTATTTCTTACTTTCAAATTGATCATTCGTTATTTTACAAGTTTTTGATAGTGGATTATCTCCGTCAGGTCCCAGCGTGGAAGTTTCTTTTACGACTGGTGAATGTAAGAAACTGATTAAGTGACGACTTCCTCCCTCCTTTCGCTCTGTGATAAACATATTGTAAAATACCAATAAAAATAATTAAAAATGCCAAATTTATTTTACTCTTGTAAAACTTCCGCTAAAATTTCAATTATTTGACAATTTGCCTATCGAAACAAATGAGGAACAAACAGCGGTGTTTTGAAAATCGTAATCATTTGAGCCGGTAATGATACTACAAGCAGCATAGAGAACTGTGCAGTAAAAACGGTGAGGGTACCATAGACGTTTCTTTTACAATTTTTGTAACGAAGAAAAATGTCGAAGCGAGGTGCGTAAATAGTATCCGCTATTATCTTAATAATCGTTTCTTTAGATTGGTTTTATTCAGTATTTATTGCTTTTATATACAAATTTTTAAAGTCTGAATAGCTTAACAGTTCCAAATACAATTGGTGTATTGTATATGGAAAATATTGGCAGTTGTGAGGTTATATTATTAGTAAAGATTTTTTGTCTTTTTAGGTCGTGGTGGTTCAGCAGGAGCGAAATTTAGAATTTCCGTTGGTCTCCCTGTCGGGGCTGTTATTAACTGTGCCGACAATACAGGTAAATTTAAAAATTCGATACTAAACATATGAGACAAGCTAGCCCTTGTTAGTATTTGGAGTGACAAACGTTTTATGTTTTAGGGGCCAAGAATTTATATGTCATAGCTGTACAAGGTATTGGTGGTCGTTTAAATCGACTTCCCGCCGCTGGTTCTGGCGATATGATTGTGGCAACAGTGAAAAAAGGTAAACCAGAACTAAGAAAGAAGGTAATGCCAGCAGTTGTTATAAGACAGCGGAAGCCGTTCCGTAGGAAGGATGGTGTATTTATTTATTTTGAAGACAATGCTGGTGTTATAGTAAACAACAAAGGGGAAATGAAAGGTTCGGCAATAACTGGACCTGTTGCAAAGGAATGTGCAGATTTATGGCCGAGAATTGCATCAAATGCTAGCAGTATAGCTTGATATATTTTTCTCTTTTGTTAATTTTACTATAAAACTAAAATAATAAAATAGTGTCCAGAATTTGAAGTCTTTGTGTAATGGTATTAAATGAAAGCATTGCTTATTTTATTAATTGATTTGTACAGTTGAAGTTAGAAAGGTGGATGAAAATACTTGAAAATAATTTTTCTTCTGTATTTTTAATAAAACTGCATAATTTTTAATTTTAAAACAAAACACCATATAAGAGCAAGATAAGGAGATGTAGGTACTAGGTTTATTATCCATCTTAATATTTGTGTTCCTCAGTTTGCATAGGCACAGCAGAGTATTTTTACATCTTTATGATTTTGCTATTTATACTGCAAAAATACTTCACTGGTAATTTGCAAAATTAGTCCACATTGGCATAATAACAAAAATGAAAAATAATGTAATGCATTTTGTTAGTAACTTAACAACCGAATTTAAATCAGCAATGTTTACAATAAATTACTTTTTTACCAATTTCAAATTTTCTTCCGTTTAGATAAGATAAATTTACGAAAAAAGTTTTATTTCAGAAATTTTGTTTTGGTGGAAATGCTGAAAAAGTAAAAATGATCAATAAAATTATTACACTTTAGTAAAATTATTGTTTTAAATTTTCTAAAATAGTATTTAAAAGTTACATTTTGCGTGTGGTGTGCATTTGAACGTTAGATATACCTAGTGGATCACTTTTTCTATATTTTACTTGAGTTCATTAGTAATGAAATCTACTTAAATCTTACGGTTAGGTAAATTATTATTATTTTGAACATTTGAAAGTTTCTTAAAATTATCTTTAACGCAATGCATTGTTTTAACGTTTCTAAGTTAGTTAATTTGTTTTTAAAGAACAAAGTGTAGTTTTAATGATTATTATATCTTAATGTACATTTTGAAATGTTTGTAAGTGTTTGTCGATGTTTATAATAAAACATTCATGTTTGAAAGGCGGTCTTGGCGAGGTAGGTACATAACATCCATATAGGATCCTTTCCTGTATACTTTATGCAGGATTGGCCTCCTTTCCCTTTTTTTATGAAACAGAACTGACGATTTATAGAAAAATAAGCTGCAGAATTCTAATGTTCCTATTCAGTACTTGTAAGCTCGAAATTTTAGTTTATTTTAAATTTGATTATAGTGTGCCAGCGGTCGCTTTTTTTTTCGCGTATTTATTTTTTAAAATTATATTACATATTAGAAT